ATACTATGTTGACTAGCAGTGGTGATAGTGGACATCCCTGCCGTGGTCCTGACCTTAGGGAAAAAGCTCTCAGTTTTTCCCCATTGAGAATGATACTCTCTGTGGGTTTTTCATAGATGGCTTTTATGATCTTGAGGTATCTACCCTTTATCCCTATACTCTGAAGAGTTTTGATCAAGAAAGGATGCTGTACTTTGTCAAATGCTCTTTCTGCATCTATTGAGAAGATCATATGGTTCTTTTTCTTTCTTTTATTAATGTGTTGTATCACATTGATTGATTTGCGGATGTTGAACCAACCTTGCAGCCCAGGAATAAATCCCTCTTGGTTGTGGTGAATAATCCTTTTTAAGTACTGTTGGATCCTATTGGTAGTATTTTGGTGAGAATTTTTGTATCCATGTTTATCAGGGATATTGGTCTGTAATTCTCCTTTTTGATGGGGTCTTTGTCTGGTTTTGGGATCAAGGTAATGGTGGCCTCATAAAACGAGTTTGGAAGTTTTCCTTCCATTTCTATTTTTTGGAACAGTTTCAGAAGAATAGGTGTTAATTCTTCTTGAAATGTTTGGTAGAATTCCCCTGGGAAGCCATCTGGCCCTGGGTTCTTGTTTGTTGGGAGACTTTTGATGACTGCTTCAATTTCCTTAGTGGTTATAGGTCTGTTCAGGTTTTCTATTTCATCCTGGTTCAGTTTTGGTAGTTGATACATCTCTAGGAATGCATCCATTTCTTCCAGATTATCTAATTTGCCGGCATATAGCTGCTCATAATTGTTTGTATTTCTTTGTTGTTGGTTGTGATCTCTCCTCTTTCATTCATGATTTTTTTATTTGGGTCGTTTGTCTTTTCGTTTTGAGAAGTCTGGCCAGGGGTTTATCAATCTTGTTAATTCTTTCAAAGAACCAGTTCCTAGTTTCATTGATCTGTTCTACTGTTCTTTTGGTTTCTATTTCATTGATTTCTGCTCTGATCTTTATTATTTCTCTTCTCCTGCTGGGTTTAGGTTTTATTTGCTGTTCTTTCTCCAGCTCCTTTAGGTGTGGGGTTAGGTTGTGTATTTGAGAGCTTTCTTGTTTCTTGAGAAAGGCTTGTATTGCTATATACTTTCCTCTTAGGACTGCCTTTGCTGCATCCCAAAGATTTTGAAGTTGTGTTTTCATTTTCATTTGTTTCCATGAATTTTTTAAATTCTTCTTTAATTTCCTGGTTGACCCATTCATTCTTTAGTAGGATGCTCTGTAACCTCCATGTATTTGAGTTCTTTCTGACTTCTTTTTGTGTCTTAGTTCTAGTTTCAAAGCATTGTGGTCCCAAAATACTCAGGAAATGATCCCAGTCTTTTGGTACTGGTTGAGACCTGATTTATAACCTAGGATGTGATCTATTCTGGAGAATGTTCTATGGGCACTAGGAAAAAATGTGTATTCTGTTGCTTTGGGACGGAATGTTCTGAATATATCTGTGAAGTCCATTTTGTCCAGTGTGTCCTTTAAAGTCTTTATTTCCTTGTTGATCGTTTGCTTAGCTGATCTGTCCATTTCAGTGAGGGGGGTGTTAACGTCCCCCACTATTATTGTATTGTTGTTGATGTGTTTCTTTGCTTTTGTTATTAATTGGCTTATATAATTGGCTGCCCCCATGTTAGGAGCATAGATATTTACGGTTGTTAGATCTTCTTTTTGGATAGACCTTTTAAGTAGGATATAGTGTCCTTCTTCATCTCTTATTATAGTCTGGTTTAAAATCTAATTTGTCTGATAAAAGGATTGCCACCCTAACTTTCTTTTGGTGTCCATTGGCATGGTAAATGGTTTTCCACCCCCTCACTTTCAATCTGGAGGTGTCTTTGGGTTTAAAAAGAGTCTCTTGCAGGCAGCATATTGATGGGTCTTGCTTTTTTATCCAACCTGATACCCTGTGTCTTTTGATTGGGGCATTTAGCCCATTTACATCAGGGTAACTATTGAAAGATAGGAATTTAGTGCCATTGTATTGCCTGTAAGGTGACTCTTCCTGTATATTGTCTGTGTTCCTTTCTGATCTATGTTGCTTTCAGGCTCTCTCTTTGCTTAGAGGACCCCTTTCAAGATTTCTTGTAGGGCTGGTTTTGTGTTTGCAAATCCCTTTAGTTTTTGTTTGTCCTGGAAGCTTTTTATCTCTCCTTCTATTTTCAATGACAGCCTAGCTGGATTCTTGGCTGAATATTTTTCTCGTTTAGTGATCTGAATATATCATGCCAGTCCTTTCTGGCCTGCCAGGTCCCTTTGGATAGGTCTGTTGCCAATCTAATGTTTCTACCATTGTAGGTTACAGACCTCTTGTCCCGAGCTGCTTTCAGGATTTTCTCTTTGTCTCTGAGACTTGTAAGTTTTACTATTAGATGTCGGGGTGTTGACCTATTTTTATTGATTTTCAGGGGCGTTCTTTGTGCCTCCTGGATTTTGATGCCTGTTTCCTTCCCCAAATTAGGGAAGTTCTCTGCTATAATTTGCTCCAATATACCTTCTGCCCCTCTCTCTCTTTCTTCTTCCTCTGGGATCCCAATTATTCTAATGTTGTTTTGTCTTATGGTATCGCTTATCTCTTGAATGCTGCCCTCATGATCCAGTAGTTGTTTATCTCTCTTTTTCTCAGCTTCTTTATTTTCCATCATTTGGTCTTCTATATCACTGATTCTCTCTTCTGCCTCATTTATCCTAGCAGTTAGAGCCTCCATTTTTTATTGCACCTCATTAATAGCCTTTTTGATTTCGACTTGGTCAGATTTTAGTTCTTTTATTTCTCCAGAAACGGTTTCTCTAATAACTTCCATGCTTTTTTCAGTCCCAGCTAGTATCTTTAAAATCGTCATTCTGAACTCTAGTTCTGACATCTTACTAATGTCCATATTGATTATGTCCCTGGCAGTCAGTACTGCCTCTTGTTCTTTTTTTTTTTTTTTTAGGTGAGTTTTTCTGTCTTGTCATTTTGTCCAGAGGAGAACAGATGAATGAGAGAACAAAATGCTAATAGGGTAACAACGTCCCCAGAGAAATATACAGCAAAGAAATCAGAAGAGAGCTGAAACCGGGGCGGGGGTGGGGGGGGATGGGAAAGAAAGAAAAAAGAAGAAAAAGAAAAAGATTAAAAAAAAAGAATACGATCAAATATGATCAGGCTGGTGAATAGATCAGTGACACACAGTAGGTTTTGGGTGTATTTTGGTCTGTTAGAAGAAACTGCCTCCTAAAATTTTAAAGAAAGAAAAGCTTATAACGTACAAAAATAAGGGTCAATACGATGAAGGGATGGACTATGACTATAAAGATGAAAATTTTAAAAGGTTTTATAAAAGGAATTGATAAGATAAGAAGGTGGTTGAAAAATGAAAGAGAAATTAAAAAAAAAAAAAAAAAGGGAGAGAATGTGATCAGGCCCGAGAGTAGAACAAAGCCATACAGTAGAGATTTAGGGCATATTTTGGTCTGTTAGAAGAAACTGTATCCCAAAATTTTAAAGAGAGAACAACTTATATATATGCCAAAAATAAGGTTAACTACTATGAAGGTATAGAATATGACTCTAAAAATGAAAAATAAAAAAGATTTTTAAAAAAAGGGATTGATAAGATGTTGTTTGAAAAAGGGAAAAAGAAAAATTCAAAAAAAGAGGGGCGCCTGGGTGGCTCAGTCATTAAGCATCTGCCTTTGCTTCAGGTCATGATCCCAGGGTCCTGGGATTGAGCCCCACATCAGGCTCCATGCTCAGAGGGAAGCCTGCTTATCCCTCTCCCACTCCCCCTGCTTGTGTTCCCTCTCTCACTGTCTTTCTCTGTCAAATAAATAAATAAAATCTTAAAGAAAAAGAAAAAAAAAGAAAATTAAAAAAATTAACTTTGAAAGACTAAAGAATCAGGGGGAAAAAAGCCATGAATTCTATGTGCTTTATTCCCCTAGTGCTGGAGTTTGCCATTCTCATTGATCGGTAAACTTGGTCTTGGCTGTCTGTGCTTGCTGTGATCTTCTGGGGGAGGGGCCTATCGCAGTGAGTCTCAAATGTCTTTGCTGGAGGTGGAGCCCCGCCCTTGTAGGGGGCCTGGCTAAGTAATCTGCTCGGGTTTGCTCTCAGGAGCTTTTGTTCCCTGCAAGTTTTCGGTACAGCTTTGGAGGACGAGAGTGAAAATGGCAGCCTCCCAATCTCCACTCCAGAGGAGCCGAGAACTCGGGGCCCCAGTGCTCATTGAGCCCCCAGAGAAAAGCCGTCAGTCACTCCTGTCTCCCCAGTCTCCGGCTGCACTCAGCACTCACCCGGCCTGTGACCGAGCATTTCTATCTCTGGCACCTGACCCCGTGTGGAGTCTCCAAACCCAGCAGATCCCTGCGGTGTGTTCCTGTGCCGCTCCTCCTGAGGGAGGAAGGGAAGTCTCCTCGGATCTGCCGCTTGTTGGGTCCCTGCTGGAAGAGTAGTGGTCCCACACTGCCGCGGATCACGGTTTATGGCAACCCCAAGCTGAGAGCCCACTCCTCGGCTCCGTCTCTGCAGCTGGCTTCTCTGCTCTGATACCTGGGAGCTCTGCCACACTCAGGCACCCCTGGTCTTCCTGTGACCCTGAGGGTCCTGAGACCACACTGTCCCACGAGGGTTCCACACCCTGCTTAGCCACTGGAGTGACGTCCCTTGGCAGAGCCGACTTTTAAAAGTTCCGATTTTGTGCTGTGCTCCTCTATCACTTGTCAGTAGTGGCTGACGGAGGCCCCCTCCCCCGCCGTCTATCCTCCCGAATATCGCCTCGGATTCATTTCTCCACACGTCCTACCTTCCAGAAAGTGGTCGCTTTTCTGTTCAGAGAATTGCTGCTATTCTTTTCTTCGATCTCCTGTTGAGTTCGTAGGTGTTCAGAATGGTTTGATCCCTATCTAGCTGAATTCCTGGGACCAGACGAAATTTAGGTCCCCTACTCCTCCGTCTTCTTGCTCCTCCACTTGGTTTCTCACTTCTTTTTTGATAATTGCCTCACAGGAGAGAATAATTGAGCGTTTGAAAGAACAGCGGGAAAGAGATGATCGGGAAAGACTAGAAGAGATAGAATCTTTCCGAAAAGAGAACAAAGATCTGAAAGAGAAGGTCAATGCTTTACAAGCTGAACTGACTGAAAAAGAGGTGAGTCTGGAAAAACAAATGAACCATGCTGATAGTCCTATTCATAGGAGCCTCAAGATACTAGAGAGTGAGTTTGAGGGGCTGTGTGAAGGCTTTGGGGACATAGTTACCTTTCTTTGGCAACCTGTCTGAGTTCAAAGGAAAATGTTTACTGTAACTCCCTTCATCAGGTTGCCCTATGCCCTCATCTCTACTCTAACTGCATACAATGTAGCTCCTTGAAAGTTTTCTAGATGTCTTACCACATTTTTGTGGCTTAGAGGATTCTGTATTTTTTAAATGTCCCATGATCTTTTGCTTGGTATAACAACAATATCAATAGTAATAATAACATCTCCCCTAATTGAGGGCCTGTTATATGCCAGTCCTTTTGTTGGTTTCTTTACATTCATTTGTGTTGCTCAACTGGATCATGGAATACTTCCAGGTTAGGGGATATGGTACCATGCTTTACACAAAGTATAGGTTAAATGTGGCTCTTCTTCTGGAATATTGATTTTACATTATGGTAAATAATTTAAAACAATATTTTCATGCTAGACAAATCATGGATGCAGAATACAAATCCTACCTGCATTTTTTAAGTAAAACAATATACTTTAAAGAAATTTTTTGCCTGGGGGTTATGGAGAGAATGGGTTGGGCTATACTCCCCACACTCTGAGGGATACCTATAACTCCTTTAGTTTGCTTAGGAATACATTGTTGGAGAAGTTTGAAAAGCAACATGACATGTTATTTTGTTCAGGCTCCAAAACTCTGAGATGTGTGCCGTTGTCCACAACTGGCCCGTTCATACTTATTTTTGTCCACAGGAAACACCCAACTCCTTTAGGGCTGTTACAGATTCTTTCCTCCTACTGGGCTATATCACTGCATAGTTGTCGATTTTTCAGCCCCAGATTATTACCTCTGCCCTTGGGTTTTGTTAATTCTATACAAATTAAAGTACTGTCTAAACGAGGAATGCAAGAATGAGAGAATTGATGAGTTACAGAAACAAAATGCATATTCCCTAATATGTAAGCACACTAGTATTTTTGTTTTGTTTTGTTTTGTTTTACAGAGGAGATTATTTCTTTGATATGAAAATAAAGAATGTAAATTCTCTTCCTACTGTTTCACTGCTAAATCTGATTTGGGGCATCTGTAATTACTGTAGTTGGTATGTGACAGAAGGCATGGATGCTTTGACCTCATTTGCAATTTGAATAACTGTTTGCAAGTGTTATTCATGGATTTGCACCTTAAAATTAATATATATATATATATATATATATATATACACTTATAATTGAAAAGAGATCTTGATGACATTGTGGAGCATAGCTTTATATGAAAATAATTTTGTAAACAATGCCTACATTGTATGATTTCAGACAGGCATTTCAGCAAACATTTATTGTTCCCGTATAGTAATGTGCCTGCCACTGGTATGGGTGTGTCAGTCAATGTTCTACCAGAAAAATAGAACTGTATTAAGAAATTTATTGCAAGGAATTGGCTTACATAGTTATGGGCAGTGGCTAGGCAAGTCTGAAATTCATAGGGTAGGCCATCAGGAAGGGCAGGCTGGAAACACTCCAGTCAGGAACTGGCACAGCAGTCCATAGGTTGATTTCTTCCTTTTCAGGGAAATCTCAGTCCTGCTCTTAAGGCCTTTCAACTGATAGGATCAGGCCCACCCAGATTTGGAGAATAATATCCTTTACTTAAAATCAACTGATGATAGGTGTTAGTCAAAGCTACAAAATACCTCCATTGCAACACCTAGATTAATGTTTGATTGAATAACTGGGGACTATAGCCTAGCCACATTGACGCATAAAGCTATCAGACCTGACAATTTAAAATGTGTAAAGAAAAACAACACATAATTGTTGTCAGCTTATAATTTAGTTGGGGTGATAATCACCTTCGTCATGACAAAATGCCATTTCAAGGTCCTTTATTATTTCTGTGGGAGTGGTATGAAAAAGAACATTGAAATTGGAGTCAGAGTTCTGGGTTTGAGACCTGTGTCTTCCTTTAATGGGTCAGGAACCTTGGAGAAGACATTCATGTGAGCCTCAGTTTCTTGACCTGAAAAATGAAAGTGGCTGCTTGTCCTTCAGAGGGTTGTTAGGAGCTGGGTAGTTTTCTGAGTGATGATGGTGTTATCTTCATCAACAAGGTTATTCCAGAGCCCAGGAAGTAGCCCAGACACAAAATATTAGGTAAAATCATTTACTGAGGGGCCACTGTGTGCTTAGTGTCTTTTTAGGTGCTGCAAATGGATATAAAGGAAACTCACAAAATCTGATTTTGGGTAATACCTCAATATTTTAGTTACATTGTTAGATGCTGCTAATAATTTCATGTTTGGTAATAGACATTGCCTTCCTAGCTAAGCAAAGTTATGTTCCATGATATATGCACATATTTACTTCTTGCTTTTTGAAATTCAGACTGTCCAGGGAAGCTCTTGATTTCTGGTTATGATTGATGAGTGGAACAATTTAGGCAACCCATGTCTGAGTTGGGGAGATTCATTATATCTGTTGAATTTGGATTTACAAAGGACTGGGATGTAAAATCTACTCTAAATTTTAAAATAATTTTATCTTTGATTCTATAGAAGGTAATTTTAAAAACATTGGTTATTTTTCTGTTAAAGAAATAGAATTTGATAAAAACAGGATGCTTCTTTTATATTTGATTTGCCTTTTGGGGGGGGGAAGCATTAAAGTTAGTATTTTCTTTCTATTTGTCTTAGAGTCTGTACGACTTGACAGCAATAAATGTAAATGGAAGGTTCAGTGTGTCTGTTTTGCCATGACATGTAAAGACCACCTTGGGACTTACATCATTAGCATGACTTTGAGACGTGAAACATATATTTACTGACCACACCATTTGGTCACATTTGATTCTACTGCAATTAGATCCTGCTCAGTTCTGTAAGCTGGCCAATTTTAATTTCCTGGCCAGAGCCGGCTATTGTTACCTTAGTAAGACTATATTTACCCTTTCTGTCTAATGCACACTTTATTACTATGCAGAGAATCAATTTATTCAAATTGAAGACTAGTAGAAATTGCAGTGTTTTACTTACTAGTGTTCTTTCCTTTCAGTCTAGTTTAATTGACCTCAAGGAACATGCATCTTCATTAGCCTCAGCAGGACTGAAAAGGGACTCCAAATTAAAATCTCTAGAAATAGCCATTGAACAAAAGAAAGAAGAATGTAGCAAATTGGAAGCACAGTTAAAAAAGGTAAGTGAAGTCCAAGAAAAAAATTCTCATTTTACAATGAATTTATAAAATGGAAAAGGAAGAGATATTTTGCAAAGAAACAAATGCTTTATCTTTTGCTGTCTGCTGATAAGAAAATTAGACACTCTTAACTTATGAAGTCTGCATCAAATTGGCCAGTGAACCTGAAAAAATATCTTAGGTTTCCTGTCTGAAACAAAACTTGAAAAATAGATGAAAATTGTAGTGGAAGTAAAAAAATATTTAAAAAAATAAGCTGCTGCTCCCTGGGTAAATCTCAACTATAAAAAAATAAGTGAAAATGTTTATAACAAATCAAAGAATCTGGGGGCCCCCTTTTATGTTGATAAACTTATACTACCTTCAGAAGTAGGTCAGTTTTTGTATGGGGAACTTTGTAAAGGTTTACCTGACAATATTAAATTTCTAGGAGTCCATCCAAATAGTCAAAGTCCCTAGAATATCTGTGGGATGACTATTGGTACTTAACCAAAAATGACTTTCATATCTTAGAAAGCTTGTTGAATGTAGAAGGCTTTGGAAAAGAAAACAGGATCTTTATATTGCAGCATTAACATGTTTTCTCTGAACTGGACATTTTTGTGGAGCATATTTCCAGTCATGCATCATTCCTTTGACTTTTTCCCTGTGTTGTTTGGTATGTCTGCACTCATTGTTCACATAAAACTCATAACTTTATGAGTTTAAGCATTTTGTTTCCCTTTGACAACTTATAAACTTAATTCAAGAGAGGTGATAAGAATCTAAATAATCAAGCAAAGCATATAATAAAATTTGACTGTATAATTTATAGCACACTGGAATGGGGATTTATTTGCTAAAGTTATGAAAATATATGATGTGGATGATAGGGATGTTAAAGCATCATATATCTGTGGAGAAATTTCTCTGAATATTTAAAAATTGAATATACTATTTTGTATGAGGCAATATATAACTGAAATGTGATTATACTCTGTTCATGGAATTCTAGGAAACTATCCTGAGAAATTTCACACTAGTAAAGTCTCCTTACTGAAAAAGATAGAGATCAAATCCCTCTACAGCAAACCAGCAAGAAAATCTCTGTATTGTAGAATCTACTTTCCAATCCACTCAGCGTCTCACTTTTTTCCAGCGATATCTAGTTAAGCAGAAATCTCGAACAATAAATAGAAGAACTTAAATGGCCCATTTGAGGGTGCTTAAGTGGCAATTGACTTGGCTATTTATGTATTGGGTGTATGATAATACATTCTTGATACATATATGAATGTGTTCTGTAATATGTTATACATATCAAGAAATGAACTTAGGAAAGGTACTTTTAATTTAATGAGCAGTTTTGTGATCACAAGGCAACTCTAAGATAACTGTGTAAGAACTTCATTGACTCACTTTGCATTAGCTTACATCAATTGCATTGTGCTGAGTCCTGAAGAAGGACCTCAAATCGACCTGCCCATGAAAGATACCTTCATCAACTCTGCATAGCCATGGTGGAGCTGAGGACAGAACATCTATTATTTCTGCAGATACATACTCAACATGCTCCCTTTTAGTGTAAGTCACCTATGGCATTTGAAACCCTCTAGTAATTAAAAGGAGGAGTTTCCCATATTGACACAGTTTCCATGTATATAACTTGACTAGTTTAATAACTGAATGTCTATGCATTTCAATTTAGCTTCTTTCAACGTAGCTCTGATTTGCCCAAAGAATCACTCAGAGCATGTGGTTTCCTTAAACTCTCAGGTAGACATTCTGTGCTGAAATTCAGAGCAAATCCTGTAAACATTTTAGCATTATTCTTGACAATGTTTTAACATTCTGCCACATCACCAGGATTAAAGTAACAAATATGGTTGTCTTGCTGTAAGGACCTATTTAATTTATGAAAAGATAACTTATTTCTAAGTATATAAATAATGTTTGCTTATACTATCTCCTAAATGCATAGTACAGTGAAATTAAATAAGGTAATTATAATTTAAATATTTTCATACCTAACCTGCAGATGCTATTTTGTTATTTTTGGTTCTCTAGCATCGACTAAATTCAAAAGTTTAAAATATTTTTTTCTAGTAGTCTTTAATTTCTGGTAATAAATAGTTCCGTAAAAACCTCAAGTACCCATCACCTTAAAAAGAATTGAGATCTACATGAAATATTTGAAAATATAAGCCAACAGTATGTGAATATACATATAAACACATCATTTACTCATGGAAAAATAAGCAGCTATAAAAGCTTAGGAGTGTCTGGGCCCCCTTTTAAATAAAAGGGTATGTGACTTGTGAATAAAATATTAAGGGTTACTAAATGAAAGCTGAAAACATAATAGTTTTATTATGTCATAAATAAACCATGAATTCCCAATGGAATTTTGCTCAAGATTTGTGAGCGTCCGTGTATTTTTACCATAAAATATACACATCCTAGATGTGTTTAGCTGAACAGAAACCTTGTTTGCCAGTGACAATGGGATCCAAATTGTGATTTAAATTTATTTTTGTCTTATGAACAATTCTTGACATCGGTAAGGTGAGTTTTTACATAAAAGTTTGTAGAGAACATTCACATGCCTAGTTACTTTTAACCCTTTATTGCACTGTTAATTTAAGTCTCCAAATACTTCATGATGAAAAATGGTTATAGGCAGAAAAGGAACTGTTCCTTATACATTGCATCCCACATCTTAAAAACAATGCCATCAAATATTCATGTGTGAGGAAAGTTTTCCTGTTATTAATGAGGTTGATAAAATGATAGTAAGCACAATGCACAACAACGAGTTATGAGTGTGCTTTACAAATTAACTGCATTCATTAATCTTAAGTAGACACCCATGGGTTGAGAAGAACCTCATTAGTGATATGTGGATAATTTTGTCTTTCAGAAGAGTATGTGGTATTCAATATGTCGAAATAATTTTACCTTATCTAACTAGAAATCAGTTGAGAAGCAACAAATCAAAATGTTATGATTTGGTAGTTTTCCAATTAATACCATCTTTGAGGAGAGTGGGGTTTTTTTTAAGCATGGTAAAATTATCATTTACTTCATCAAAGTTGAACAAATGAAAAATTCAGGCTCTTTAAAGGAACATGTCTTAGCTTCAAGCAAAGTGAAAGTTCCTACGGTATTTCACTTTCTATAACTTGACGTTGAGCCCCAAAGAAATAGAACCCGAGAGTGATATTTAAGATAATACTCAGTACATTTAAATCCACAAAAATTTAAATCTTCTACACAAAATAGACTGGAGAGATTTAAAAATTCTGATGCACTTGGAACATTATAGGATAGTCACTAAAAATTACATTTTTATTAATTATGAACTAACAGTAGAAGCTGGTAATGGGCAATGGATAATACTGTATTTTGGTTCCCTTTATTCTTCCTGATGACTTAATTTTTTTCTTCTCCCATTTACTGTTAATTCTGTAATGTTTTGCTTACTGATATTTTGCTATTGCTAACCTGCTGTTTGCTGATCTATATTTTCCTAAAATTAGACTGAATAGAAACTTCAGGCTTGTGTTAATATAAAAGAAGAGCTATAAATTCAATGATAAGATTTAATTAATCTTTTATTATTACCATCTTTGAAGTTCAGGTAATAAATTGCAGGCTTGGCCAAAAGTACTTCTTCTGATTCATTGCTAGAGGCCAGCACTTCATGTATCATCAAAAGTGGACAGCTTTCTTTATTTCATGGGTTATTTAACTTGAGAAAGGGAAAGTAACACAAACCTTAAATTTCTTATTCCAGCTATTCTTTTTTAGGAGCCAAAGTCAACATTTCTATTTCCCTAGAGCCTCTCACTTTCACTGTGGAATGTTTAGAAACTGAAATTTCTTCTTTTTGAACAACCAGTTCGTCTGTGCAAATGCACTGGATTTGTTGAGCTAATGCTGTTTTTCTGGATCTTTCCTTCTTTCCCTGTCTGTGCTTCAATGCCTCCCCAACTTTGCAATGTAGCAAGCTGAGCAGTTGTTCAATCAGATGTACAATCCAGTAAGTCATTTCTGAAAGTTCCCGCTGTAACATATCAAAGCATGAGGATCCATTGATCACATGTCACAGTGTGCCATACTGGGGAGGTTTCAAAAATATATATGAGTCTCTTCCCATTTCCGTTCTGTCAAAAGAAATGACCTGTGCAAAGGCCACTGCCATTTCTTTTGAATGTGAAATTTAAAAATTAAGAACTTAAGAAAACATTGCCAGCTCTGATATTACCTCCGTCTTAACTTCAACTTTAAGGCTATAGAGAAGCGGAGGTCAGCTGCGTATCTAGGCTCATGGAACTCTTTCTTAGTTCCTTCTAACTCAGAGTTACCTATATGAAAAGGGATAGCATTTGTAAAATAGCAAGCAAGTCGATGTAAATTACATTCAAATGATAGAAGTTAAAATAAGGTTAGATTTAAAAATAGGGCTATGCTCTCTGAGATTGGTAAATGCCTAACATTATTGTGGGTTTTGTAAGAGTTAAAAACATGTCATTTGGTTGAGGACGAACTAAAATATAGCCTCCTAATAACAGATAGTAACAATTCTGATTATAGCTTAATGGTACACAAAACAGGTAACTAGTAAAAATATATGTAAAACGGCTGGCCCAGATGCCACCACTGATTTTTTTATCCTAATGACAGGTGTACATTTATATGAAGCAGTTTATTTGTTTCTTTAAGTTATTAAAGAAGAAAGACCTTTTTGTTTTGTCAACTCAACTGGCTTAACTGGGTGAAATATTACCTAAAGGTGACCAGAATTTATCATTTGGCAGATGTGATCTGTGCTATCATGCATTCTAATTACCTCCTATTTATGAATTCCCATCATGGCAAAATGGAATAGCATAGATAAAGGAAACAATTCAGCCCAAAACTTTTTGTTAAGCTGCTATTCCAGAATACATACATACAGCATGATACACAAGATGCTTGGGAGTATTTAATTAGATTCAACCTCCGCCCTCCATTCTTTA